TCCGGGCTGCCCCGTGGCGCGAACAGTTGGTGCTGCAAACACTTTACTCCTCCTTATCCCGACCCCCTCTCCGGGCCCTCCTCCAAACCCAAGCACAGGCCCGAAGAGTCACCCCCAAACGCGGTGAGCCGTGGCGCGCTCTCAACTCTTCGCCAGGAGCAGGTTGGAAGCTGGATTTTGGAGAGACTCGGGACTGGGGTCCGTGGCCAGCTCCTCCTAGATCCGGCGGCTTGCTTTTCATGTTTGAAAAGAAGATTTCGAATTACCTTTGGGCACGCCTTTTGAAAACATTTCTGGAGGAGCGCAGTGGGGTTCTTAATTGAGGGGAGAAGAGCCGAAGGGGCATTTCTCGGGCGTGGAATCTCCGTCTGGACCAGCGCGCGGCGCGGAGCGGAGCGGGGCGCGCCAGCCAGAGCCGCCTCCTGCCCGCGCCCCCTCCCCACTCCCCGGCACTCTTGCTCGCTGGCTGCCGGCGCGCGCACACCCCCCGCGCCGGACCCGCACCTCGGCGGGCGCCACACACTCGGCAGTCCGAGCCGCGGCAGCCGCAGCGGGATGGAGGCAGCACGCACCGAGCGCCCCGCAGGCTGGCCCGGGGCGCCCCTCGCCCGGACGGGGCTCCTACTCTTGTCTACGTGGGTCTTAGCTGGGGCTGAGATCACTTGGGGCGCGGCGGGCGGTCCTGGACTCCCTGCGGCTCCAGCTTCGTGGCCACCGGCTGTGCCTCCTCTCCCGCCGCGGGCATTGGCGAGCCGGTGGCAGGAAGAGCAGGCGATGGCGCGGAGGGAAGTCGCTCTGGGACGCCGGCCCGGACCCCAGCCGCTGTCCCGGCCAGGCGGATGTGAGAAATTAGAGATAGTCTGGGGGACGCCAGCGGTTCCTGGCAAGCCGGGTGGCGCAAGGAGGAGTCGCCGCGCACAGCCCCCCAGCGCCCTGGAGAGCGGGGACGCCTGGGCCACTGCCCCGGCAGATGGATCTCGAGCCGGCCGCACCTTGGACAAGGGACTCCGGGAGGAGGGGAAGGCACCGCGTACTGGGGGAACAGCGACCGAGGATCTCCGGTTGCCCAGCACCTCATTCGCACTAACCGGAGACTCAGCACACAACCAAGCCATGGTGCACTGGTCTGGGCACAACAGCAGCGTGAGTACCCACCAGGCGGCTGGTCCACCTGTCCCCAGCCAGGGGGGAGCAATGGGGATCCGCTAGGGGCGGGTGGTTGCTTGGGGATTGAGATGAGTTGAGGTGTCTCGACTTTTAGCTAAAACTCATTGCTGTGGCTCCCCTGGTGTCCCCAACAGGTTTGCGGAGTTGTGGTAGATGGTGTGCCTAGGGTCTGGGCTGCCGCACACAGGAGCGGAACGGGGGCTGTGGTCACTTCTTGGAGTACTCAGCAGAGAGAGAGCTGCTTCCTTTTGGAGAGTAGGTGCTTGGCTCCCTGGGTGAGTGTAGGGACTGATTCCTGTGACCTCAGGGGCAACCACCCCTTCCCCTGCCATCACCCCTGGCGGGGGAACGGGGAGGGGGGGCTTTGAGGCCACTCGAAGTTCCAGACTCCTGCCCTACTGGGGTGACAGCTGAAGGCGCGAGGGTCTCAGCCCTGGCTGAAGGCAGGGCCAAACCTTGGCCTTCAGGTGACCCCTGACCCTCTCCAAGCCCTAGCAGTTTCTGGAAAACCATAGGGGAGGCAGTAAAAAGTTAAAGTCAGAAAGGAAAGGCAGCGCCCTTCTGCACCCCTCATGCAAGAGCATGCAAGAGCACCCATATGTCACTGAAAAAAAAAGCCTCCACCAAAACCCACAACCTCTGGCCTCCGCTGCCGTGTCCTGTGCTACGTTTGGATCCCAGAGTGGAGTTGGGTCCCTTTGCTTTCTGCACGCTGTTCTTCCTATTTCTGGCCCTGTACCACCGCCGCCTGGTCCCCATGGATGCTGCTGTACCCAGAGGTGGTTGCTCGGCACGCAAGACTGGGGCACAGGCTCTGGGGAACAAGGCTGCCCTGGCAGCTGCAGTGACTCTGAGCGCTGCCAGAGGGATGCCCCCACCTCCTCAGGCACCCAGTCTTGTGTAGCCAAGCCAAGAAAAGGGGAAGAGTGGGCGCCAGTCTAAAGCGAGGGTCTGCCATGGTCTCCCACACTCTCTTATCCCTCCCGCTGCAGCTCACACTTCAGTCAGCCTTGAGACATCCTTTTGGGACCAGAGCAGAGCCCCTGTATGCGCTTGGCTGGGTGGGCATTGTGGGCCCAAGGAGAGTTGATGGATGTCTGTACGGGCAGCTTTGGGGAACTCAATGAGTGTGAAAGCCTCCGCCCCCTTGTATTTACCCTTATGATTGACATTGGAAACAATTTCCTTGGGAAATGGAACCTGGAAGGGTGGTTGTAATGGGGGTGAGAACACAGCAGTTAGGGGTCCTCAGAGCTCAGCTTGCTGGTATTAGCCAAGTGCAGGTTTCCTGGTTCCTCAGCATACAAGGCAAGGCGCTGGCAGCCCAGCCCGGGAAATGTGTGGAGCTCCGTGGCTGCATCTTTGCCAGCCTCATATTGGAGACCCCACAGATTGCGGCTGTAGAGCTCTGGGGTTCAAGAATGGACAAATGGGCATCTGTACCTGCATGAGTGATTGAAACTTCAGACTTCAGCTCTCTCCAAGGACGTGTGTTGAGTGTGAGCGAGAGAGGTTGATTGATTGTCTGGTAGCAGGAGTTGTGAATCATAACTTCAGTTTTGTTTCATAATTAAGAAGGGTGAGTGTGAGAGAGTGTGTGTATGTGTGTGTGTATGTATGTATTTGCCTGCCCGAGTAAGAGCAGGGACCAGGTGTGTGTAAGTAACCATTTATCAAGGAGGCGATGTTGCCCTCATATATTTGTGGCTCTCGTGCTATCACATGTGGGCTGTATAAATTTATTCCGCCTGAGGAATTTTTCCTATGTCTTTGTTTCTATTTTAATTTGCTTGTGTGGATGTGTGTGGTGTGTACCATCAAATTGGATCTGACTGGTACAGGAGGAGATTGCCCCTTCTCCAGCAGAGCTTCTGGTGGATTCGAACCACATACCTCTGGGATTACAGTGTCTGTTTTTATTTTAAGAATCATTTTTTTATATTGATGAAGCTTCTGAAGAAGAGCTCTAGAGAAAATGTTTCCTGCAAATGTTAGTGATATGTGAGTGGCATTTCCTGCTAATAGTGCAGGAAGTTCGGGGGGGGGGGGGGCAGGTTCAACTCTGTCCTCTCTGGAAAGTGGAGTTTCAGCCAGAAAAAGCCCAAAAGGGAGTGGGTCAGTTGGAGGGGAATATTTAGTGAGTGACCACGGCTCAGGTAGGCCACCAATAGCCCATGAGACTTACTGGTTTTGCCCCTGACCAGTTCTAATGCCCAAGCAAAGGCCAACCAGCTAACTGCCTTGCCTTGTCATCTTACAAGACTCAACGACAGCCCCTTCTGGCCATGTTTGCAGGTAGTGCCATTAAGCATATGGCTACAGAGTGCGCGGTCTCTACTACCATTATAGGGAGGTGGAGAAACATGGTAATATGGTCCCTGTCACTCTTGAGGGACCAGCTGGGAACCTTTCTCATCATCCTCCCCCCACTGGCCTTCCCCTCCTGCCTTGCCTTCCCTGAAGGCAGGAAAGAGAAGGTGCTAAAGCCAAAAGCCAGGTGAAGAATGACTGGGCTGAGGGAACTTGCAGGAGGTTGTTCTGCACTGTTTGCAAAGTGGAGGGAGATGTCCCTGCAAACAGACTATGGGCTTAACACCAGGCTCTTTTGATGGAAAGAGACTTCTGCCTTCTCTTCCGGACTTCTATCCAACTTCCATCCGGCTCTTCTCCAGAAAGGCTGTTCCATTTTTAACACATTTTTCTTTTTCTGGCCCTTTTTCTGAGTGCCCTCGGTGAGCTCCATTACTTGATGTGAGTTCTGTTTTGGAGACAGTTTTCAGTCAATCCTTGTAGCCATCAGTTGGGTTCCAAATGGCACAGTTTGCACTCAGTGATGTGGGAGCCAGCTGGGTAAGGAATGGGTCTCTGCAACACCTGCTGTGCCTAGCAGGTGGCCCAGGGCTTCAAGGGGCTGGAGAAAACCCTTGTCTAAAGGCTATGTCTGTGTTCTCTTTCACCCTATGACTGAATTGAGGTGGCTTGGGACTCAAAACAGGAGATGTACAGCAGGCAGGAGCTGAAGGAGTTTGGAGAGCAAGCAGACCCCCCCCCCCTTGTAATCATTACAGAGTGTGTGTGTGAACTTGGCCATGGAACCTCTGCCCAGGAGAAGGGAGCGATTTGTTGTTCCTCTGCTCCAGTTGTCTCCAGCTGGGCTCCCAGTGATTAATGGGTTAGAGTGTTCCACAAACATCCAGAGGGAGCCCAGTCCCCACAGCTTACAGGGAAACAGAAAAACACATCACGCAGCCTGTCTCCCTCAGTTGAAAGGAGGTGCCCACCCCCCTTGCTCAGTGAGTTGGCAAATGGCAGAGGAGAGCAGAAAGTTGGAAGGGCAGAACCCTTCACTAGATGCTGTGCTTCCCTCTTCGGATTAACCCTTTGTGGGGACCATTCCCAGAGCTGGGGTGAGAGTGCTGCACCCCTCTCCATCCAGCAGGAAGCAGGATTTGCAGGCTGCAGCCCCTGCAGTGAGCCTGGTCAGAATGACTTGCCAGCCACTTGCCAATGAATGTGCCTAACACTCCCCCTTCTTCCCGATGAGAAAGGAGAGATTCTGGCCACTGGGGGTCCCTTCCACACACCCCCTCCCCTGAGCTCTCTGGTAGGTGGAACACACAGATTCTTCCAGGCAGAATTTCATACCCTCAACTAATTCAGCTGGACTGTGCTCGAAAATATTTACTCCTAATGTGCAAAATAGTGACGGATTTGCTCAGATTAATTGTATTTCACTCACTGGAGCATCTAATTGTGGCTCCCAAACAGATTTTTCAAATAGCTCTTGGCTGGATCGCGTAGCCTTCATCGTCCCTGCTCACAACCCCCTTGTCACAATATCTTAATGCATTTTGCCTTCTCAGAGGCTTAATAAAGAAGCCTGCCACAGAAGCCATTCTTCAGGGGTTTGCCAAAAAGAATCTGTTTTTAATTAATATTACAAGGGAAGCCATCTCAGTTGAGATGTAGCCGGGAAATGCAGTGGGACAGAACAGCACTAATTGCTCCTGGTCACTGTCAGCGTGGTGGGTTGGGGAGGGGGAGAGGGGTGAGGATTGGACACAGGCTATTTGCATTCCCTCTGATGGCTTGGTGTTTCTGTGTGTGATTTGTTTCTTAGATCTGGCAGGGATTTCTAAGGTGAGCCGAAGTTGCAAACTCCTTAATTGGGAGGTCTGATTTAATGATTACAGAAATGGAATTTGCTTTGGAGCTGGTCATGAAGGAATGCTGGGAAATGGCTTTACCAATTGTGTTGGATTTAAAGGGAAAAGGGGCACTGGTGTTTCCACCGGCAAGAAAAGGAGGCCAAGTGCATAAAGAGTTGTTCTGCCAACCCAAAGGCAAGTGGTTCTAATCCACCAGCCACTTTCTGGGAGAAAGATGGGCAATCTTTGCAGTTAACAGCCATGGACCACCTGCCAGAGTGTCAGCTAGGAGTTGTTTGGCAATGGGTTGAGTTGATTGGCAGGATGGGTGAGGAATTGGAAGAACTACAATCCCCTGGGCTGTGTAAACCTGTAATTTTATTTTCACTGGAAGGATTTTGAAATTGGAGAGTCTGACCTTGGAATATCCTGTAAGGAGCAGAGGGGTTTTAAAATGTGGAGGAAGGTGGGAGAGAAGATTTCGTCAAAGATCAGTGGTTTATCTAAGGCCAAGACAGATGGACCACATCAGTTGAGGTCTGGTGGCTTGGCTCACCTTTTGATTTCTGGCTTCCTCTCTTCTTTTGGCCTCTGGGCTGCTTTGAGACACCTCCCTTCAAGGGTACCTTGAAAGTAACAAATGTCAAAAGCGATTTTTTTTTTTTATAACCAGTTTGGGAGAACAAAAGTCTATAGGGGAATGGAAAATACAGAATGGGATTGTTTGGTGGGCCACTTTTGATAAGCAGGACTGGTCCAATGGCATGAATGGGTTTAACAACCCATGAGTTCTCCTCTTAACGTCATGGTATCTGAGATAAAGGTGCA